ACATTCTCAAGCTGACCTTTGTAATGAAATAAGACTTTTTAAAAAAGTGATTAATATATTTTTTTTAGGATTTTTTTTATTGTAAAGATACTATACAGAGGGTTACAGTTACATGATCAAGGTAATGAGTACACTTCCTCTTGAACATTGTTACCCCCTCCATTGTTTTCCCCCTACCATCCCTTCCCTCCCTACCTTCCCCAAGGTTCTTTTTTTTTTGTGATTAAGTGATTACATAATTTCCGGAATTTCACAGTATTGTGGAATAATGATGCTCATTTAAAGTCACAAGTTCATTCTAACTTTCCTGGAGCAAATTGTCTATCACAGTCTGTAACATATAATGGTGTACACATGTTATACACCATACATGTGATCAGCAGCATGGGGATATTTAGTAGTGGTTCAACCAGATGAATGGGAGTTCTTTGTTTCTTAAGTCCTGTTAGTTTTGTTGTATCACCTAACATTTTGGATTTAGCATCCACTTATCAGGGAGACCATGTACCGTTTGTCTCTTCGTTTATAATTTGTTTTTCATAATTTTTATTGTGATTAAGTGATTACATAAATTTCACAAGTTTCACAGTATTGTGAGATAGTTTTACTTAAAGTCACATAACACATTCTAACCTTCATGAGGCAAATTGTCATTTTCATGGTCTATTTGTGAATTCTATGAGCTTTGACAATACAACTATATCTTCCACATCGGGTGACATGTTCATTTCTTTCCTTTTGTTTAGTGTAAGCTGTTTCCTCTTGTTCCCTCTTTCCCTCTCACTCCTTCCTTCCCATCGCTGCCTTTGAGTTGCTTAGTTCATGCAGTGCAGCTGATGGGCTCCTCTGTTGTATGTTTTCCTCTGATTCTGTGTCCTCCTCCTAGCTTCCCTCAGATGTTCACACACACACACACACCCCATATATGTGGCCAACAACATGGAATCATTTAGTAATATGACATGACAAGATGAGTGGAGGTCTTTTTTATTTTTATTTTTTGTCCATTAAGAGGCCTGAACTCTGGGCCTGGGCGCTGTCCCTCAGCTCTTCAGCTCAAGGTGAGCACTCTACCACTTGAGCCACAGCACCACTTCTGGCATTTTCTGCTTGTGTGCTGAGGAATGGAACCCAGGGCCTTATGCATTCAAGGCAAGCACTCTACCACTGAGCCACCTTCCAGCGCCCGAGGTCCTTAGTTTCTCAGATCCTGTTTGTCACATCTCCTTGCATTTTGGAGTTAACACCCACATATCAAGGAGATAATGTGCCATTTGTCTCTGCTCTTGGCTTACCTCGCTCAAAATGATTTTTTCTAGTTCCATCCATTTCCTTGAAAATGCCATTATTTTGTCCTTTCTAATGGCTATATAATATTCCATTGTATATAGCTACCACATTTTTTTGATCTATTCATCTGTAGTGGGACATCTGGGTTGTTTCCATATCTTGACTATTGTGAACAGTGCTGCAATGAACATGGAGGTGCATGGGTCCTTGTATCCTGGTTCCTGTTGCTAGATGCTTAGGAGTAGTATGACTGGGTCATAGGGGAGGTCTATACCTAGCTTTCTGAGGTACCCCAACCAAAGTGGTTGTATTAGTGGACATTTCCACCAGTAATGCAATAGGTTCCTCTTTCTCTGCATCCCCTTCAGCATTTGTTGATGGCTGACTTTAGGATGTGGGCCATTCTGACTGGGGTAAGGTGGTATCTCAGGGTTGCTTTTATTTGTATTTCCTTTACAGCCAAGGATGATGAACAGTTCTTCATGTGTGTCTTTGCCATTTTTATCTCTTCTTCTGAGAACTCTCCTTTTATCAAATAGGACTTCTAAACAAAAATGAAGTTACTAGAATTAGAATGTTAGATTATAAGTTCTGCCAAGAATATCTATCTATCTATCTATATATACACATACATATATATATATATATATTTCTAATATTCCGCTCCTTGGCACAAATCAGATACCTAATATTGGTTTGTTAAATGCGCTTAAAGTTGAGAGAAAGAATAGTGAACACCGACTATAAGACTTTAAGACGAGGTCTTGCTTGTTCAAGGTAGCTTAAATCTCGAACCTCTTGCTTCAGCCTCCCATCTAGCTGAGACTGGAGAACACCCATCCAAAATGATCTCCGTTCCAATGCATTTAAAAAGAAAACGTGTGGGCTTTGTTCCTTTAAATGTCCTTTTGACTTTTCTCCTACATGGAGGAATAGTGAAATACACGAGATCATCCAAACTCTTCCAAAGGTAAAGAATCCTGAAAGGAAAAATCCCGCAGGGAAGAGGAGAGCGCAGCGGCGCAGCGGCGCAGCTGCGGAGCGCGGGGACGCGGCCGCCCCGGCCGGCTCTCGCGCAAGCGCGGGAGTCTCGGAAGACGCAAGCTTGCCGCCTGCTCAGGAGGGCAATTCGCGCGAGACTTGTTGGTTGCTATAGTTGCGGAAACGCCGCAGCGCCTGCCGCACGGCTTTTCTAACCCAGCAGCGCCCGCCTCGGGTAAGACGGTTTTCCTCCGGATAAAGCTTTTCTTCCAGGTTTCCCCACTCCCTCCCTGCTTTTTTGCACAACACCCTATCACACAAATCTTGTGCCACTGACTTCAACAGGTGCCAAGTCTCCTGCCGGAACAGGGCCCGGAGAGCTCCCATCACCCTCGCCCGGTGCGACCTCTCCAGGCCGACCTCCCCATCTCCTCCTGTTTCCCCCTTGACCCTCTACCTTGCAGCTTCCTGGGAGCAGGTGGTATCTTCAAGATGCTTGGAGGAAAGTAGTACACACCAACATTGATATTGTGTAGTGCTTCATATCTCAAATGGTTTGACTGTTTTAGGGAATATTCACAACAAAGGTGAACCCAAGGCCAGAAGTGGTTATGCCCATTTTACAGATGGTGTCACTGAGGCTCAGAAAAGTTAGACATTTATCACAGTTATTAAGTAAAATAAGGTTTTTATCTCCCCATTCCTCGGGCTCCAGGTACAAGTCAGTGGTAGAGAGCTTGCTTAGCATGCATGAGGCCCTAGATTTTATTATTGGCATTACAAAATACACACACATACAGTATACACATACATAAGCTATTTTCCTTGCCTCTGCATTTTAAATTTTGTCTTTGAACATCTATTCTTTTCCTAGAACATCATTTTAGTCTATTATTTTTGCTTCAGGTCACCTCTTAGAAGGAGATTTTTCTGGCAGGCACACCATACATATACTCCCAAATCCAGTTTGTTCCCACCTTTAGCACTTAATATATAGACATTTTTTATTCACCTGGAAGAGTGGATACTATGGTATTTGTAAAGTTCTAAGCACAGGGTGTATACTAAGCCATAATCAAAGTTAATTCCATCCTCTCCTCTTCTCAATTATATTCTCCTCTCCTCTCTTTGCCTTCTACTGTCAGAGCACCCATTATACAGAAAATAGCTTTTAGTCTTTTCATGTCTTTCTTCCTCACTTCTTGAGGTTAAGGATTTTACACCTGATTTCTTATATTCTCAACACTTACCATAGTATCTAGCTGAATCATTAATTTTTTTTCTGGTGGTGCTGGGGTTTGAACTCAGGGCCACATGCCCTTGGGTAGGTGGGTGCTCTATTGCTAAGCCATGCCTCTAGCCCTGCTTTTACCTGTTATTTTTAGGATAAAATCTCACTTCCTACCCTAGTGCATACTTGGACTGGGATCCACCTAATTCCGGCTTCCTGTCATTAATGGTTTAGCACTGCCATATCCAACAGATAGGGTCTTGACTATTCTGCCCCAGCTTCTCTGTGAGCCTCCCATTCTCAGCCTCCCAAAGTAGCTAGGATTACAGGACTGTGCCCCCCACAAGTGGCCCAATTTACATGAATTATTTGGACAGAAATAGTGTGGATTAGAGAGAGAAAAAAAGGAACTGGGGCTGCGAAGGTGGCTCAGTGGTAGAGTGCTTGCCTTGCATGCTTGAGGCCCTGGGTTTGATTCCTCAGCACCACATAAGCAAAAAGAAAAAAGCCGGAAGTGGCACTGTGGCTCAAGTGGTAGAGCACTAGCCTTGAGCTGAAGAGCTGTGGGACAGCGCTCAGGCCCAGAGTTCAGGCCCCATGACCGGACCCCCCCCCAAAAAAAAAAAAAGGAACTGGAGTCAGACCAGTTGGAAAGCTCTTGTTATAGCAGCAGAAGGAAGGGACATGAAGATCTTACTCACATAGGGGAAAGAATGGGCCTGATATAAAAGGGCTTTTCAAATGTACACTGAATAAGAAAATTCAGTGCCACTTAGTCTTGAAAGAGTCTAGTTGAACAAATGCTCTGAGATGTTTAGGTAAATGGAAAAATGGGGGAGTTACAGAGGTGGAACCAGAATAATTACAAAGCCTGAAGACTGTAAATGTTTGTATTATTTTTGTAACATTAATCATACATAGACTGCATAGTATAGCCTCAGTTTTTCAACTGAATAAACTCCAATTTGACTTAGAAAAGCATAACCATACAAACAAAACAAGTAGCACTAATTATTTTTTAAATTGTTTCCTTGGTTTTTGGAAAATAATTAGAAGTATAATCTGATGGAGACATATGTAAAAATCTTTTCCAGTAGATTGTCATTTTATATGGATTGCCTTTCTCTCAAGATACATTTTTGTAAAACCAAGAAATAATCTTTGAGGAGAGTTTTGCAGATTGGAAAAAATAAGTACCAATGTACACTGTGAAGGATGGTGAATGGTAGGGCAATGTTTTGTGATAATTGGTACTTGATAGATTACGCATATATGAATATTTTTAGTACCAACCAGTGGGGCTTTGCTTGCATCCATCTCTAAAAGCACTGTTTGTCCATCAGCAGACATTGGAAAAGGGAATCGGGGCAATACTTGTCCTTAGGTTTTCCAATAGTACTTGTGTATGGGACAGATAATGTACATGAGGGGACAGGTTTGTTTGTTTTCTTTACAGTGACCAGCCAAAGAAGACCGGAGAGGATGCCCAGTTGCTGATATGGAACCGGTCACACAAACAACCAGAGTAGTGCAAATCACTGTGACAGATGGATATGATTTGGTAAAGTTATATTCTGTAATGTTCCTAGTTTGGGAGCATCTGAAAAATAATGGAATTTTCCATTATTTGGCTTTCCATGGTAGTTTCCCCTTCTGTTCCTTATTTTTAGTCTTTGCTCAGCAAATCACATTGCTGAGTAATTAAAATACCTGACCATTTGAATACTAAGTTTAACAGGGGTAGAATAAGAAGTTGTTTTAGTTTTTCCACTAAGTTCTTTTTTCCCCTTTTCTTTTTAGAAGAATCTAAATGCTTCCAATTTTCTTTCTTTCCCTCCCTCCCTCCCTCCCTCCCTCCCTCCCTCTTTCTCTCTCTCTTTTTCTTTCTTTCTTTCTTCTTTCCTTCTTTCGTCTGTCATAGGCTTGAACTCTGGGCCTGGGTCCCGTCCCTCAGCTCTTCAGATCAAGGCTAGTGCTCTACCACTAGCCACAGTGCCACTTGTGGTTTTTCTAGTGGTTTATTGGAGATAAGAGTCTCTTGGACTTTTCTGCCCTGGCTGGCTTTGAACCATGATCCTCAGATCGCAGCCTCCTGAGTAGCTAGGATTACAGGCATGAGCCACCAGCACTCAGCTCAATCCCCCTCCCCCTGCCCTTTTGTGATCATTTCTTTTTTTTTTTCCAAATTTTTTACTGTGATTAAGTGGTTACATAATTTCCCAAATTTCACAGTATTGTGGGATAGTGATGCTCAGTTAAAGTCACAAACACATTCTAACTTTCCTGGAGCAAGTTGTCTATCACGGTCTATAACATTTATGAGTTCTATGAGCTTTGCGATACAGTTATTCCTTCCACATTGGGTGATATGTACATTTCTTTTGTTTTGCATAGCATCAGCTATTCCCTCTTTCCCACTTGTTCCCTCCCTCCCATCACTGCCATTAAGTTACTTAGTTCATTTAATTAACTTTATTTGAGGAACTGAAATAACATACTGCCATAAATATCAAAAATTAGAATAATGAGATGACAATAGTTTGCTATTATGAAGTTTAAAAAGCTGTTCCAAAAGCGGATATGAGTAATGAACCATATTTGTTTTAAAATGTATATATAAAAATGTATGGCCGGAGCCATACACTAAAGCATGTATTCTAAAATGTTAATAGTGCTTACATGTTGGAGTCAGTTTACAGGTAATTTGTTTTCCTGTGTAATTTCTTTACTTATTGTTAAATATTCAACAACATGCATTGTTCTTTGGCTGTACTAGAATTTGAACTCAGGGCCTTATGCTTGCCAAGCTGGCACTTTACCACTTGAGCCACACCTCCAACCCTGCCTTTTGCTGTTTTGTTTTGTTTTCCTTTTGAGATAGAATCTAGAGAACCCAGACACTGGGTTGGCCTTGAAGAGTGATCTTCCCACCTCCTGCTCTCAGCTTCCCAAGTAGTTAAGAATGAAGGCATGAAGCATCAATTCCTGGCTCTATAATATACTTTTTGAATATGTGTGTAGGTACCATGGCTTGAACTCAGGGACTCACACTCTCAGCTTGCTATTCATGGTTGATACTGTGGCAATTGAGCCATGTCTCCAGTTTGGCATTTTGCTGGTTAATTAGAAATAGACTTTTCTGCCCAACTGGCAGAAACTAGATCCTCCAGATGTCCACCCCCTGAATGCTAGGATTAAAGGTACCCAGTTTATAATATATTTTTACAACCAACCAATACAATAAGCACTTTTAAAAAACTTTAACATACTGGTATGTAACTAGAATGTTACATTTAACTACAACTTGATACATGTTTAACAAGTTCTACTTGATTGTGGGGGAAAAATGGAAAACACTGTTCAGCCCAATTCAAAATGGGTTACCAGATATGTAGGGAAATTTTGTATTTGAATGTAATTTAAAACAGATATGTTTCTATCAACAGAAAGGTTTTAAAGGAGATACTCCAGTTACTTTTATTCGTGCAGAATTCAATCAAGTAGTACTGGGAGATTCTTCAAAAGTTACGGTTTCTCCAGAAGGAATTACAAAATACAACTTCACTAGCAGTTTTGAGTACAATCAGGATGGAGGAATCACTTTAGATGACATCGCCCACAAACCTGCATTCTGTAAGTCCTGGTGGTTCTAAAAAAAATGCTGGTTATGAAGTGATCTGTGGCACTTGGTCACTGTTGTTGGAACAGTCATATGGTCCTTACTGTAGAAACAATGACTTAACTGCTTCTGGCACAGGTAAACATACCTACTAATTTAATCAGCTTTTCATCAAAGCTTTGAATCTAAGACTAAACTTTGGCCAGTTGCCAGCTCACAGTATAATTCCAGCTACTTAGGAAGCTGAAATCTGAGAATTAAGGTTCAAAGCCAGCTTGGTCAGAAAAATCTGGAAGACTCTAATCTCCAATTAATCAATGAGAAGCTGGATGTGGAGACATGGTTCAAGTGGTACAGTGCCAAAAAAGTTGAACCAGAGTATAAGTTTAAGCCCTGGTGTATACACGCGTGCACACACACGCACACACGCTCGTGCCTGAACTTTGCAGTCTTTATCTTCTAAGCTGAGGAATTGAACCCAAAGCTTGCCCACATGCTGTACTAATCTATGTTCCCCCAGCCAAAGTTCATTTTTCTTAAACTTATTTGGCAATACTTCATTTTCTGTGCCTTGATTATCTTACAGATGAAATAGAAATGTTCTCAGTTGATTTGCTGCTGCTGCTGCTCCTCCTCTTCCTCTTCCTCCTCCTCCTCCTCCTCCTTCTTGTCCTCCTTCTTCTTCTCTTTTTGTCAATCATGGGGCTTGAACTCTGGGCCCTAGTGCTGTCCCTGAGCCCTTCACCTAAAAGCTAGTCCTCTACCACTTGAGCCACAGCGCCACTTCTGGTTTTCTGGTGGTTAATTGGAGATAAGAGTCTCACGAACTTTCCTGCCTGGGCTGGCTTTGATGCTCAGATTTCAGCCTCCTAAGTAGCTAGGATTGATTATAGGCGTGAACCATTGGTGCCTGGCTTATTTACTTTTTTAATTTAATTTAATTTTTCAGTGACTGTGACTGAAGTTTTACCAAAGGAAAAGAAGCAGAAAGAAGAAAAGACCTTAATTCTTGGTCAAGCTGTGGTGGACCTTCTTCCATTACTGGAAGGTGAGATAAGTGATTTTCCCCCAAATAGCAACACTCATAAACTTATCTCTAGAGAATTATAAAACTCAGTCATAATAAAATGGAACGATTTGAGGGGAAAATAGGATATTTATTTATGCCTGTGGTCGTACTAATTTAACCTTCCTTCTTGGGCACATCTTGGCCCTCTTTTCACAGGAGAGAGTTCATTTGAAATATCAGTCCCACTACACCCTGTGCAGGGCTCGCCCTTAGAGACTCTTCGGCCAGGTGTTAAGGTAATCGGCTTTAACTTAACATTTTAGCCTGCCATTCAATTTAGTAAGTCTCTTTGCATTGAAGTCCAATGTAATTAGCAATCAAACCACATTTTAAATCTAATTTTTATTCCATATGAAAATATTAGAGACATACATGTATATCTGCATATGCATACATACGTATAGATTTGAACATATTATAAAGCACTACATTGAAATTACAAAAGCGATACAAAATACAAGCTACTAATTTGTAGCAGCTGTTGATATTTAGGTATAGTATCATCATTTTCTTTTCTATATGTATTTGTATATGCATTTTGCCTTACTGTGATGAGAAAGCATTCTGGGTTTAGGAGGAAGGTTTTCTTTTTGTTGTTGTTGTCAGTTGTGGGGCTTGAACTCAGGGTGTAGGCGCTGTCCCTGAGCTATTTTTCTCAAGGATAGTGCCTTGAGTGGCTAGTGCCACTTTGAGCCACAGCCCCACTTCTGTTATTATTTTCAGTGGTTTATTGGAGATAATATTCTCACAGGAGTTTTTCTGCCCAGGCTGGCTTCAAACTGTGATTCTCAGATCTCAGCCTCCTGAGTCGCTAGGATTACAGGCATGAGCCATCAATGCCCAGCAAGGAGTATGTCTTTCTATTTGGTTCTTTCTCCAACTCATAGGACCTGAACAAAGTTAGTTCTTTTTTTTAATAAGTTTTTTTTATTGTGAAAATACTGTACAGAGGGGTCTGGACAAAGTTGTTTCATTATAGAAGTAATTAAGCTTGCTCTTTTGTCTTGAACCTCATATTTAGATATGAGATGATGAAAAAAAAACCAACCAAAACAGGGCTAAAGCAATTTTCAAATTCTGCGTCATTTTCTTCTTTACAGCAGTGCAGTCTTGATGTTAAGGTATCTGTGGGAGAGCCCTTACTGACCTCAGCCCAGGTCTTAGGGGGCAATCTTCTGAAGGTCACATTGGAGGCTGCCTACTCTGTGCCTGAATCATTCATCCCATCAGGATCTCAGCAGAACTACATGGTTGGTATGCAAGTTCCATCAGTTGGAGAGGTAAGCCCTGCTGCCGTTTAGTTTCATAGACTCAAACAATTCTACATTCAAATGCTCATCTCTTCTTCACCTTCTAAAGGTGAAGTATCACTCTGCTGATGGCTGAGAATGTATTTGAGGCTTCAAAAATGTTTTATACTTACTGAACACTGGTAGCTTATGCCTGTAATCCTAGCTACTCAGGAGGCTGAGTATCCTTAGGGATAGATATGCTATCCTCAGGGATAGCAGTTCATATCAAGCTTGCGCAGGCGCAGGGCGGGGAAGGTGGCTCAGTGGTAGAGCGCTTGCCTTGCATGCATGAGGCCCTGGGTTCGATTCCTCAGCGCCACATAAGCCAAAAAAAAAAAGCCAGAAGTGGCGCTGTGGCTCAAGTGGTAGAGCGCTAGCCTTGAGCTGAAGAGCTAAGGGACAGTGCCCAGGCCCAGAGTTCAGGCCCCACAACCGGAGCCAACAAATCAAACTTGCGCAGAAAAGTCCCCATGAGACTCTTGTCTCCAATTAACCACTCACAAACCCAAAGTGGTGCTGTTTCTCAAGTGGTAGAGTGCTAGTCTTGAGCACAAAGAGACTCAGACAGTGACCAGGCCCTGAGTTCAAGCTCCACAACAGATCAAAAATTTTTATGGTCATAGTTTTATATTTATAATTTATATTACCATATGCAATATATTGTATATTATGTCTAGTTTACAGTAATATATTGCTGCTCTTTGGGCATATTTATACAAAATGTGCACATTTTGTACACATTTTTGTGGGTTTTACACAATGTATCTCTTTACTCCAGGTTATTTTCTTAGGCTGAAGTTTTAGCTATATGAACGTTTGAGTATGAACCTTTGAGGCTTTTGGTACAGGTTTTTGTGCCACGCCTGGATGTTGTCCCTTAGCTTTTTTTACTCAAGCACTTAGACTACTTCCAGCTTTTTGATGATTATTGAAGAATCTCATGGACTTTCCTGCCTAGGTTTGCTTTGAACTGCAATCTCAGTTTCCTGAGTAGCTAGAATTACAGGTTTAAGCCATCAACACTTGGCTATGTTGGTACATTTTAAAATTGCCTACTAAAAAGGCTTGTAATCAGGTAGCACTCCCAGATGTCCTGTTACCAAAACTATCTCTGTGATTGACTCACTAAATCTTGCCCAGTTTGTTTGAGAAATAAGGGGTTTCGGTCTTAACACTGGGACAGTCCAGGAAAATCTGAGTAGTTGATCTGCTTCTGGGAATACCCTACAGAATTGTACAAGACAGAGCTGTGCATTGCCCCATCTTCAACTTTGTGTTTCTGTTTATTTTTCTCATTTATTTGTTGTTTATTTTGTTTACTTAAAGTACCTTCATTAGTATAATTCCCCCACCCCACCCCACCCCACCCCCTGGAGATCTTAGAAGTTTCTTTGTTGATTGTTAAAAAAAATTCTGGCCTGGTGCTGGTGGCTCATGCCTGTAATCCTAGCTAATCAGGAGGCTGAGATCTGAGGATCACGGTTCAAAGTCAGCCCAGGCAGGGATATCTGTCTGTGAGACTCTTATCTCCAGTTAACCACCAGAAAACCAAAAGTGGTGCTGTGGCTCAAGTGGTAGAGAGCTTGCCTTGAGCTGAAGAGCTCAGGGACATTCCCAGGCCCAGAGTTAAAGCCCCACAACCAAAAAAAGAAAAAAATTCTGTCTGTGTGTTGGTACCAGAACTTAAACTCTGGGCCTCATATTCTTGGTCAGTTTTTTGGTAATGGCTGGTGCTTTGCAATTTAAGCCACATCTCCATTTCTGGCTTTTGATTGTTAATTGGAGATGTAATCTGACACACTTTTCTGCCTGGCAAACACACACACTATTATTTCCATTAGCCATGTTACCAACACTGGACATATTTAGACTTTGATTTTGCCAAATGATATCTAATTGTGTATTTCACTGTTTATTAATTATATATAGCATCTTTTTATTTAAATGTTGGATTTTTCTAATTTCCTTTTCTCTTAAGTTGCCTATTGACATCTCTGCTAGACCTATTAAAAATGTATTTTTGGATAAATTATAAGATGAAAATGCCTGTATTTTTAAATTTCTTGACAGGATAAATTTTAGTTTTCTTTTTAAAGGATAATTTTTTTTTATTTATTCTTTTTGTCAGTCATGGGGCTTGAACTCTGGGCCTAGGCACTGTCCCTTAGCTCTTCAGCTCAAGGTGAGTGCTCTACCACTTGAGCCATAGCACCACTTCTGGTTTCCTCAGTGGTTTATTGGGGATAAGCGTCTCATGGCCTTTCCTGCCTCAGCTGGCTTTGAACTGCAATCATCAGATCTCAGCCTCCTGAGTAGCTAGGATTACAGGTGTGAGCCACCAACGCCAGAGCAAGGATAATTTTTTTAATTTTTTTTTGGGGGGTCTGGTTGTGGGGCCTGAACTCTGGGCCTGGGCGCTGTCCCTCAGCTCTTCAGCTCAAGGCTTAGCGCTCTACCACTTGAGCCACAGCGCCACTTCCGGCTTTTTTCATTTTTTGCTTATGTGGTGCTGAGGAATCAAACCCAGGGCTTCAGGCATGCAAGGCAAGCGCTCTACCACTGAGCCATCTTCCCAGCCCGCAAGGATAATTTTTAAACAGGTACAGTTAAAACTTTCATAACTTCCATATAAACATAAAATGATAGCAGTTATTCAAGGAATTCATTGAAGATTGGGGATATAGGGCTGGGAAGATGGCTCAGTGGTAGAGCGCTTGCCTTGCAAGCCTGAGGCCCTGGGTTCGATTCCTCAGCGCCACATAAGTCAAAAAGAAAAAAAAAGCCAGAAGTGGCGCTGTGGCTCAAGTGGTAGAGCGCTAGCCTTGAGCTGAAGAGCTGAGGGACAGCGCCCAGGCCCAGAGTTCAGGCCCCACG